TATATATATATTTAAAAAAAAAAAAAAAAAAAAAGTTCGCGTTCGATGATTTTCGGAGTCCGTTCGCGTTCAGGCGAACGTGTTCGCGTTCGCTGGCGAACGCGAACGGGGTGCTACGCAGCTCAGCACCTTTGTTAAATGGCCATTCAATAAAAGCCCGGGTGAAACCTCAATGAAACAATGAAATCACCAAGGCTAAAGCCTTTTAGGTTGAGTATGGACGGTGAGTTGGAATTGAGTTGTAGACCGACGAATCGGCAACTGACCTGTTATCACTGATAACAGATGATGATTCTCAAGGGATCAAGCTGAATCTAGTCCGAATCTTGAATCAGACGATCAAAGAAGATCTGTATCATACGACTTGTCAAATCCCAAGCCAAATTGTCAAAGTATGAAGATCAAATCCCCATGACACGTTCTCACTCAAGACTTTCCTGATAGCCAAATCTAGGTCTACCTCTAAGCCAGCGCCCCAAAGAAAGGTAGACCTATGGCAGAATCTCCCCTATACAGAGTGGATCACCAGAGTCGCCACCTATCAAAATATAACTATTTCCCTTAAACTAAGAAAATTTCGGCAGTGCTCCCCGTAGGAAAAGTGCCTTTCCAGAATTTATATAAGTCCAGATATGAAAGCAAAAATAATCTCTAACTCTTGAAAGTCAAATTATGTCTAACTCCCTGAATTAGTAGAAATTTGGGCAGCACTCCCTTTAGAAAGGGAGACTTCCCACATTTTTACTAAGTCAGATATGAACTCAAAAAACAACTTGAGTCCAACTTAGACAATATTTAACCAACTCCTTAGTTTTGCAGAAATTTCGGCAGCACTCCCTTTAGAAAAGAGCTATTCCAAAATTTATACAAAGCCAAGTCCAGATTTTGAGAATAACTTTGATTTCTCAAAGTCCAATTTTGTCCAACTCCCAGAATTAGCAAAAATTTAGGCAGCACTCCTTTTAGAAAATGAGACTTTTCAGATTTTTACTAGGTCAGATATAAAAAAAAGACAAGTTGAAATTTGACAAGTCAAAAAATTGACTAACTCCTTGGGTTTGTAGAAATTTCGGCAGCGCTTCCCATAGAGAAAGTAGCTTGCCAAGATTTGTACAAAGCCAAGTAAAAAAAAAAATCCTAGAAAATGCGATAATTGACCTAAGTAAGAAACGTTACTACAGAAAATGCAGGAATTGACACTAACTCCTGTGGCTCTAGCACGTGGCGAGCAACTAAAGCAACTACCTATCAACCTGAAACTCAGACTAAGTAGTGGCCTCACCCAGTCACATGCAAGCCAGACCACAAAGGTAAGTACTCTCACCATCCCAAAGTATACCTGAACAAATAATAGTTCATGATCTTTCAATGATTTAATCCCTTACACCCAGCTTACATAAGGCATAGGGTCAGGACACCTAAACTTATGGAATGAACCTTACCTTAGCCAGGCCTAAAGTCGGGCCACCCAAACTTATAGGATGAGCCCAACTTTGCCAAAGTATACACAAACACAGGGCACAACAATTTTTCTCTTCTTTGGGCGCATGACTAGACCATTCTAGTCGCCCTGAACTGTTTAAGATATCCAAGTTATATATACCTATCTCCACTTTTGTCTTCTAAGGTTGCATATGACTGAAGTAATTTAAGTTCAGTCTGCCCCAGTTTACCACCAGTTTTTATTCTTAATTATACTCTCTTCATGTTGTGATAGGCTATAGTCAGACCACCTAAGCTTATATAACAGTCTGATTAGCTCGTTCTTAAAATAGAATAGTAATAAAGTATAGCCAAGTTATAACCATTGAGTTTCAGCATGTGCGTGGCTTTGAGCCAGACCCCCTGAACTTACAGAAGGATCTAACTCTCTGCCAATTTTCATTTATCTCTGAATCATCATGTGTGTGGCATCGAGTCAGACCCCCTGAACTTACAGAAGGGTCTGCCATTTGCCAAGATTACTTCTTCAGAATAAAAAGCAGGAAGAGGCTGAGCCACCTAAACTTATAGAACAGCTCAGACCTCCTCGTTCAGAAACCAAAGAAACAGATAAAACCCCAGTGAAAATAAGGCAACCCCAGGCACAAAAACTTATTGAATGCCCCGAGTCCCTGAAAATCAGACACAATCAGACCCTTCACAAGTAAGAGCAGTCAGGCCACCTAAACTTATAGAACACCCTGACCCTCCATGCAAAACCATAGCACTGGGTCTCCCCAAACTTATGGGGACATCCCAGCCTCCAAAGCAATTAGACCCCCTAAACTTACAGAAGGGTATGATGCTTTAATCAAAACCAAAAGAAACAAAGCACTGGGTCTCCCCAAACTTATGGAGACCTCCCAGCCTTAAGGACCCAGTCAACCTTCAAGCAAAACAACCCTCCGTCCTGCCTTTCCCCAGATGCAGTTCTTTTCAGCAATCTGAATTCACACAGTCAATAAAGTTGAAACTGAAACTTGAACAGACATTCCTTTACTTAGTCTTGTCCAGTGTCTTGAAAGTCAAACGAAAGAATAAAGTGAGGTTGCACATCATATATTCAGTCAGAGATGCAATGGGAGATACTGATAGGGGCTATAGTCTGGGTTTATAGAGGGGAAAGCAATGGTTACCTGTCAGTTCCCTGCCTCCAGAACTCCTCCTGAGTTCCGACAGAGCTCCAGCAATCGGTGGGCTGACTCCCCACAGAGTCTTGATGCGGTCCTACGGGTTGCAATCCCGCCTGCCGCCTTCCCCTCAGATCAGGACCAGACTTAGAGTAAGAAGGATAGAAGAAGAAGGTTTGAGACTCACAGATACAAGAGGGATGCTCTCAGACTCGCAGGAGGCTTGTTTCCTTGACTCGCCTGAGGGCCCCGCAATGGCACCCAATGTGCCAGCTTGGTCAACTCTCTGAAGTCAATCCATCAAGAGTCGCTCTCGGCCGACCTCTCAAACTGCAGCACTGCCCCCCCCTTTCTCAATGCTCAGCCATCCCTCTGGGTCTCATTGCAGCCTCACAGCAGGCTGTAACCGTCAGCAACCGTTGCAACAGTGCGCAGTATTGCAGCAGCCAATAGTAACCAACAACAATATCATTTGCCAGCCGCAGTCTGTGCATAGCCTGTGGACGCAGCAACAGTACAGTCTCCGATAGCAGCCGCCGGTGAAGAGTTCACAGCACCAGCAGTAGGCACCAACCAACTGTAGGCAGCAATAACAGCTTTGCACGTAGTTCGCAGCCGCGGTGTGTGCCCCATGAACAGCAAGCCGCCACTATGTATGGTCAAAACAGTAGCAGCGCCACACAGTCATCTGCAGTTGTAGGCCCGCAATGTGCAGCCGTACGGTGCAATGTGCAGCAACCTTCCCTAAGCAGTGTGTGTCGACCGCCATATGCAGCAACAAGGCGCCGGGGGACACAACCACCCACGGCACCACCAACAATAGAAGCAACTGCGAAACTCAACTGCACCAGCCCTTTCCAGCAGGGCCGCACATGGCTAAGGGAAACCGCATCACTGTCTCAGCAGCTCCCTCAATGGATCGCCTTTGCAGCAATAGCCCACCACTTAGCACACCGGACGCTGGTCATAGAAGCCAGCCCACGCCCGCCTGTGACAACAAGTGGCAATCAATAGGAGCTTTAACGGACAGGGACTCGGTGAAACAAGGATTCGATGAGCAATAGTAGTCTCTTTAACAGACCTCTGGGCTGCAGTAGGAGCCCACCATCCTCTCTCTTTCTAATTCTCCTTGTCTCTCGCTCACCTCACCTTCCCTCACCACGGTACTCGTCCCCTAGACCACCACCGCCCTCTTGCTAACAGCCTATGCCAACTATGTCTCTCGTTATCCGTAGTGGCGACGATCGTAATGCCCATAGGTGTCGATTTCACAGACCACCGCCAGCTCCAGGTACGTACTCCCTTATCACCACTGTTACCACTCACCCCGTGAATGCAACACTGCCCAACACCAATCGAACGTAAAAAAAAAGTGAATGAATCTATCGCTAGAACATGAGAAGATACACTACGATGTCTATGTTTTCCACCCCCCGGCGCATTCCTTCATAACACCGCCCAAAAACTACCCACTAACTTCCCAACCTGCCTTCACCATCGTGAGTGCGATACTAAAGAACCTCTAAATCACATTTTCTCACGCCCGCCCCTCCCAAGAACGCGTGGGATTTCCACTCTCGTTCCGCCATATCCCACACACCCCGATATGGCCGCGCACCTAAACTCTCGACTAACTCCTAATCTATGCTACTAACGCCAGTTCCAACGCCGGCAATGGCGCCAAGCCACTCGTCCGGGGCAAAAACCCCGAAGTCGCCTCCCTCCTTGCCTGATTCCGCTGAGAATCGCAAGTACTGCCTCTTTTCCGCCGCTCGCCGCTCCACACTTATCCTCCCTCCATAGCCCGCGCAGTCCGTTTCCCCATCTCCCCACTTTCTACTCACCCCAGGGCCGAACCGACCCTACCACTGCACTCGCCCAACATCAGACCCCCCCCCTTTCGGATCCTTCCCCGACCGATTCCGTCAAGGAACGGGCGTGATACTCACTCCACATTCCCACCTTCTCCTTTCTCCGCCATCCCGTTCTTCGGTGTATAGGCACCTGGCGCGATTCGTCGCCCAGGTTCGCTCCCCTCCTTCACTGTGCTCGACGACACCTACTGCCGGGGCCCGCCCGGGTTCACTTGCCTATCCCCCTTCGTCCCCGTCTGCTCCCAATTCCTGCCTTAGCATCGTTCGCCCTGCCGCTCGTTGCCTTCTTTGCTGCATCCCGTCTCCCGTCCTCGTTTTCCGTAATGGTCAACTTTGAATACCGCACAACACCTCGATAGCGCACCGAGCCACATGGAGCCCGCATACGGCCAGTAGACAACGCAAAACGATCACACGCGGAGCACCGCGCCCAATTTATGCCTACCACCTTTGCGTAGGGCCCCCGCGGATCTTCTCGATATCATTCCAGTTTTAGCAGATGTCCCGAGGGACTTCTTACAGCGGCGGCGCCTCTCGACATCTCCGAAGGCAGCTCAGCCCCCTCTTCCTAACCTTTTCGCATGCGCTTGCTCCCCTTTCCGTCCGGGTTCATCCCCAGACCTACGGGCATCAGTCGGCCCCCAGCGGCCAAGTTAATCCTCTCTATATCGTTCCTGTTTTAACAGATGTCCCGAGGGACAAACGCCTAAGCCGTGGGGCCGACCAAACCCAGGCCCCAGGCAATTCAGAGATATTTGGTTTTTCTTACCAACGAAGCTCCATTACCTGGGTTCGAACACGGGTCTGTATTCCAACAGTTCATGGGTGTGCTCCTACTATGTTTTTGCGTCCACACACGGGCACGATAATAATAATAACTAAATAAAATTATAAATAATATATATATATATATATATATATATATATATAAAAACAGCGGTAGTCGGGCAAGGACCACGACACCCCCTCTTAGCCTGCCCGTCAGCCCCACGCTCG